CACACACACACTCTCACACACACACACACTCTCACACACACACACACTCTCACACACACACACACACTCACACACACACACACACACAGACCCTCCCTGTTGTCTTCTAAACAGTCCTCAATAAATCCGTCAATCCAGACCACCTCACCACGTCACTTTGGAATGTCCTGTTGGACAAACAATACACACACACACACACACACTTTCAGCAGTGAATGGTCAGTGAAAGGCCAGAGGAGTACAAACAGACGCCGAGTAATGACCACATTCCGGTGGAGCGTATTATGTCCACTCAGATAGCTCAGACACAGGGCAGTGCTTCATTAATGTAAGGCATCTTCAGCAGAGCGGTCAGTGAAAGACTGAATTCCACTGAGAAGACAACACACACACACACACACACACACACACATTCTCCATGTGAAATGAGCTGTCAGTCAAAGCCCAGACACTGTGTGTGTGTGATGACCCCCTCTGGTTCGTTTTCTATGGTATGTGCCCCCCCCCCTCCTTCTGGACAGTGGAATGTCCTGTGTGTGTGTGGAATGTCCTACAGGTCACACACACTGTCTGTGAGGGGTCCACGCCTGTCACGCTGTGTGTGTGTGTGTGTGTGTGTGTGTGTGTGCTGCTCATTGGGCAGCAGTGTTAAAGAGGAACTCCACCAATTCTTTTAAATTTCTGCATAATTAAGTGGTTAAGATGTAAACAGTGGTTCAGAGCGGTTTGGTGTGAAACGCTCTGTTCTAGATAAATGTACCGAGTCAGAACTGTTCACAGTGGTGGTGATAGGAACCAGACGTCCACCTCTAAAAGCTCCCTCACAGAAAGTTCCTACAGTAAATGGTTATGAATTCACTGCCTGATGACTGAGACACTGTTTTATGATAGTTTAGAGAACTTAAACTCCATTCATGGTGGAGGGATACATGCAGGGCGCTGTGAGGCAAAATAGTCCCCAAAGAAAACTTATTATTTCAGATTTTCCACTATTTTCATCATCAACATTCATATAAACTCAGAAGACTCGTGTAGGTTCACTGGTGGTTCTGGATAGTAAATAAAATGTCTATATCTGTGTTGTAGTCATGGCGACCCCTGGTTCCTATCACCACCACTGTAAAGACATCTGAACCATTTCACACCAAACCACTCTGAATCACTCTGATTACACCTCACACACTGAATCATGAAGGAATTTTGAACATTTGGTGGAATTCCCCTTTAATATATTCAAATCAAATATTTCATTCAGAATTCGGCTCCAAAGCTGAAATTGCATCGAATGGCTCTAAATGTAGCTGATCAGTCGAGGAGTGTTTGGTGTCTGAAGTTTGCGTCTTTAGCTTTAGCACTGGAGCTACGAAGCTAACGCAGCTAACGGCTAATGGAAGCGTGTTAGCGTCAGTTAGCACTGAGCTAAGCCTGTGCAGGTTTTCAGGCTGAGTGAGGAGCTTTTTACTGCGGTTTGGATGGAGAAGTACGTTTTGCGTGTTGGGCGCTTTGCATTAAATGGGCTCTGCTTGTTTTTGTAGTTAAAGAAAAACCAGAACAGCTCAAATTAGCATACATCATTAGCTTTTTTGCGCTCAGATCAGTGACGGTCAGGGACGCAGGAAGTGCTGAGGCTGCTGCTCCCCCTGATTTCAGGCTGGAACTGTTAAAAATAATAAAGATGAATCATTCTGACCGTTACAGTGGTTTGAGTGCAGTGCAGAGCTGTGTGCTTGTTTTAGAGCAGGGTTTGTATTTCATATTTCAAAAATCTGCAGTAGCTGTACCATCAACAACCTGATTGGTTGCTGCTCAGCTCATTTGCATAAAGTTCATCCAGAGCCAAAAAGCAGAGCGATGTGTGTCGGCGGTCAGTTATCTGTATATATGGTCTCTCGCCTCGTTATAGCGCTGTGTCACAGGTTCATGTCAATTAGCAAAAACAAAAAATACATATTGCAAAATTTTAGCCCCCCAAACTTAAGACACCCTCCCGCACCCCTGACGGTCATCAGCCGCCTGAGCTGGACCAAGTTTAGCAGCTTTATTAGTTTAGCCGCCCCAGTAGCGCCTGATACTCAGCCTGTTATAGCAGACACAAAACATGGCTATTCATAAATAATGGGTTTAATCTTCTCCTCTTCCCTAATGTCTCTCTCTCTCTCTCTCTCTCTCTCTCTCTCAGGCTGTCCCCCCCGTTGCTGGACCAGCGCCCCCCTCCTCCTCTCTCTCAGTGTGGCTCGGTGGGCGAGTGGCTGAGGCTCATTAAGATGGAGAGATACGAGGAGAACTTCATTCAGGCTGGATTCACCAGCTTCGAGCTCGTAGCTCAGATCTCCACCGAGTGAGTTCAGCTCCTCTCCTCTTCTCTTCTCTTCTCTCCTCTTCTCTTCTCTCCTCTCCTCTTCTCTCCTCTTCTATCTTCTATTCTCTCCCCTTCTCTCCTCTTCTCTCCTCTCCTCTTCTCTCCTCTTCTCTTCTCTTCTCTTCTCTCCTCTTCTCTTCTCTCTCTCTCCTCTCCTCTCCTCTTCTCTCCTCTTCTCTTCTCTTCTCTTCTCTCCTCTCCTCTTCTCTCCTCTTCTCTCCTCTCCTCTTCTCTCTCTCTTCTCTTCTCTTCTCTTCTCTTCTCTCCTCTTCTCTTCTCTCCTCTTCTTTTCTCTTCTCTTCTCTCTTTCTCTCTTCTCTTCACTTCTCTCCTCTTCTCTTCTCTTCTCTCTTCTCTCCTCTTCTCACCTCTTTTTCTCTTCTCTTCTCTTCTCTCCTCTTCTCCTCTCTTCTCTTCTCTCTTCTCTCCTCTTCTCTCCTCTTTTTCTCTTCTCTTCTCTTCTTTTCTCTTCTCTTCTCTTCTCTCCTCCTCTCTGTCTGTGCTGTACTGTATTAGTGTTGAAAGGTTGATGGTGGTTATTTAGTGTTGTTAATATAAATGTATCTCTATGGAAATGATGTATTTACTGCCTGAATAAATCAGATCAGGGTTTCTCTGTGTGTGTGTGTGTGTGTGTGTGTATATGCTGTGTGTGTGTGTGCTCTCTGAGTGTGTGTGTGTGTATGTTTGTGTGTGTGTGTGTGTGTATGTATGCTGTGTGTGTGTGCGCTCTGTATGTGTGTGTGTGTGTATGCTGTGTGTGTGTGTGCTCTGTGTGTGTTGTGTGTGTGTGTGTGCGCTCTGTATGGGTGTGTGTGTGTATGCTGTGTGTGTGTGTGTGTGTGTGTATGCTGTGTGTGTGTGTGCTCTGTATGTGTGTGTGTGTGTATGCTGTGTGTGTGTGTGCTCTGTGTGTGTGTGTGTGTGAGTGTGTGTGTGTATGCTGTGTGTGTGTGTGCTGTGTGTGTGTGTGTGTGTGTGTGTGTGTGTGTGTGTGTGTGAGTGTGTGTGTGTGAGTGTGTGTGTGTGTGTATGCTGTGTGTGTGTGTGCTCTGTGTGTGTGAGTGTGTGTGTGTGTGTGTGAGTGTGTGTGTGTATGCTGTGTGTGTGTGTGCTCTGTGTGTGTGTGTGTGTGAGTGTGTGTGTGTGTGTGAGTGTGTGTGTGTATGCTGTGTGTGTGTGTGTGTGAGTGTGTGTGTGTATGCTGTGTGTGTGTGCTCTCTGAGTGTGTGCGGTCTCGGTCAGTGTGAGTGCAGATCAGGTTTAGTGAAGCTGTGAGTGATAATTGTGATGATGTTAGAGATAAAACTGCATGTGGGTTTGATTTACAGAAGGCGTGAACTAATCTCTCTCTCTCTCTCTCCCTCCCTCTCTCTCTCTCCCTCCCTCTCTCTCTCTCTCTGTCTCTTTCTCTCTCTCTCCCTCTCTCTCTCTCTCTCTCTCCCTCCCTCTCTCTCTCTCTGTCTCCCTCTCTCTCTCTCTCTCCCTCCCTCTCTCTCTCTCAGGGATCTGTTGCGTATCGGTGTGACTCTGGCTGGTCATCAGAAGAAGATTCTATCCAGCATCCAGACGATGAGAGTTCAGAGCAAAAACTCACTCAGATACTGACCACACACACACACACACACACACACACACTCACACACACACACACACTCACACACACACACTCACACACACACACACACTCTCACACACACACACACACACACACACACACACACACACTCACACACACACACTCACACACACACACACACACTCTCACACACTCACACACACACACACTCACACACACACACTCACACACACACACTCACAGAAATGACTGGGAAAAGCCTTTAGACAACAGAAAAAAACTTCCCTTGCACTTCCGGTTCCAGTCCAGCACCCACAACAGCCAATCAGAATCCTCCTAAAAGGGATGACATCACAGCCATCACCAGCATCACCAGCCTACTGTGTTCTCAGCCAATCACCTCCCAGTGTCCTCGTGGGAGGATTATCTCAAGGAGATGACATCATCACTGCATCATAGTGCCTTCTCGCATTAACTGACCAATCACTGTCCTCCGTACTGCGGCGCCAGAGCCTGATTGGCTCACACTCACAGTCCGGCCAATCACATTCGAGGAGAAACGAAAATGAGAAAGACGGTATGAAAGGACGGAAAGAATGAAACAGAGACGATGCGGAGACGATGCGGAGACGTTGCGGAGACGTTGCGGAGACGATGCGGAGACGTTGTGGAGACGATGCGGAGACGATGTGGAGACGATGCGGAGACGATGTGGAGACAATGCGGAGACGATGCCGAGATCTCCGTTATGTGTAAAAATGCAAACTCTGGCCTTTTTAGCGATGTTTTCTCTTTTTTTACTTCTCGGTTTTAATCCTTCTCTCCTGTGTATGACGCACAGACCTACACCTCCCTCAGGATCCCTCCATCCCAGAGAACACACAGCACTTTCAGGCCCGCACACCCTCTGCTGCATGTGAGGGCGTGGAGAGAGCGAGGGATGATGAAAGAGAGAAGAAGGACTGAATTTCTGAACAGCTGTGTTCACTTCCGTTCCTTCAGGGTTCAAATTAAAGGTGGATTCGCCTTCATAAATATGCATTAATCTTAAAAAGAGGGGGCGTGGCCTCAACTGCGGTCACCACGGTAATCTTGTGAATATGGACACGATGGGGGTGTGGCCTATGGATTTGGACTGATCCAGACGTAACCCGCCCCCCACAGAGCCGACCGATAGCCTTTCACCATCACCAGCCTTGACCTTGCCTTGACCTTTGACCCCGAGTGGTTGCCATGGCAAATACTTGCCTGTTTGAATTCTGGGAGTTTAAAGCAGGATCTTCATATTGAAGGTCCTTTTATAATTATAACTATTCTAATAAGCCAAGGATATTTTTTTGTAATTATAGTTTTGCTTTTTTGTATGAATTGAAAAAGAAAAAAACTGAATTTGAGGACTGAATTCATATTTGAGGAAATGAATAAACTTTGGGAGATTTTACTGCAGCTGGCAGTCAAAGTGTGTGTAAGTCTTTCTGACCAATCACAATAAAGATTGTCAATGATGTCCCTCCCACTCTGGACTCAGAATGCTTATTAATAATTATAATTATGTTATGTTATACTATAAAATGGACAGTCCTAAAGTCTGATTGGCTGAGCTGCTAAATGAGACTCGCGGCGGTAACTTGTGACCATAAAGTACTTATAAAGTGAAGGTTTCTGCATTAAACAGTGCTGTGTCGTCATATGTTCACTGTTATACAACAAAAAGTAAAAAAAATCGTGAAATGACCGCAATATACAGCGATAGGTGACCGAACGTTCTCCTTATTCAGCGGTCCATGGTTGCTTGGCAACAATACCATACTCTAAACAAACTACATTTGCTTGGCGGAATACCTGTTTATTTTGATCATTATCAATGATAACAAATTATGTTCTGAAAATTGTGTATATCATATTTTGTGTTGGCCGCCGTTTCATAAAAGCAGTAAGCCAGTTGAGGCCGTGCGTTACAGTGATTTTATTACGGGAATGGAGTTCCACTCCACTTTGCGTCGTGCCTAACAACACCCTTTCCCCGTGATACAATCTCAGTAACACACAGCCTCTTGTGGCTTATTGCTTTATTACATTATATTATTCGACAGTTAGTTCTGCACGATCTGATTGGTTGAGTTCTATGTGTTTCATTCACTATTCACTAATCGGTGTTCACTACATAATGAAATGACTAGTGAGTGAGAAAAACACTTGATTTTGGAAACTGCTGTAATTAAGCTGTAATTAATATTTTTACACACCAATTTGAAAGTAAACGATAAGCACTGAATCATGTAGACGAGCTGTCAGCAACGCATTTTTTAAAAGTTGCTGTTTTTCATAACAAAATTGTTCCCTCTGTCTGTTTTGCTACTCACTGTTTAGGTATTACATAAATAACTGAGAACTGCGGCAGCTACATGTCATAACAGCAATACGGCATCATTCTACTGAGCACCGGTTGCTAAGTAACGACTCGCTTTACACTGTAGCTAACGAATACACTGCTAAAGAAAAAGTAAAATAAAAGCAAAAGTCCTTGAATCGAGCAAAGTGATGTACTTCTGAAAATGACAAAAATCAGAACCAACAGAGCGAAAGAAATATACTGGCCAAATCAGCAAAGAGAAAAAAATGAAAACAAAGGCTGGCAGAATAAATTGTGTCAACATTAGTGAAATCTTTCTGAAGAATTAAAATGTCTATTTGCAACATATTTTCAGATTTATCTGCTGCAGCTCATTGTAAAGTGTTTCAGAGGAATCCGGGCAGAGTTACAGTTTCTAGACTATGAAGGACCAACTGGGTGAGCCAGTCTGCTACAGCGCCACCCTGAGGCAGAGCAGAGCTGCAGCTCTAGTTAGTTAAGAACACCAGAGACAGAAGCTGATTGTGGGTGAAGCAGATAAACAATGAGCCTCACTGAGTCTGGATCTGAGTGGCTGTTCTTCTCTAACAGACAGCAAAACGTCATAATGAGTTTATTTTCAGAGACCCCCGGAATTTTGAGACATTCAGGGGGTCCAAGAAGTTAATTAGGGGGTCCCGAACCCCCCAGGACCTCCTGTATTTTGCACCTCAACTGCTTGTACGTTTTTAAAAATATATGAAGTGGTCTTATACAACCCCATTTCCAAAAAAGTTCAGACGCTGTTTTTGTGTAAACAAAAATATGATGATATGCAAATCATGTAAACCATATTTTTAAAGGAAATGACTACAAAAACAACATAACAAATATTGAAACTGAGATATTTTATTGTTTTTTTGAAAAATATTTGCCCATTTTGAATTTGATGTCAACAACATGTTCCAAAAAAGTTGGGACGGGGGCCTGTTTACCACTGAGTTTCATCACCTCTTCTTTAACAACACTCTGTAAGTGTTTGGGAACTGAGGAGACACTGCTGTAGTTCTGAAAGTGAAATGTTTTCTGTTCTTGTTTGATACAGGATTTCAGCTGCTCATCAGTTCAGGGGCTCATTTATAGTATTTTTCATTTCATAATGCACCAAATGTTCTCAGTGGTGACAGGTCTGGACTGCAGGCAGGTCAGTTTAGCACCTGGACTCTTTTACTACAGAGCAATGCTGCTGTAATACATGCAGAATGTGGTTTTACATTGTCTTGCTGAAATAATCAAGGCCTTCCCTGAAAAAGACGTCGTCTGGATGGCAGCATATGTTGCCAAAACATGTATATATCATTCAGCATTAATGGTGCCTTCACAGATGTGCAGATCACCCATGCCATGTGCACTAATGCCCCCCTACACCATCATGAATACTTGCTTTTGAACTGTGCACTGATAACAAGCTGAGTGATCTTTAGCCCGGAGGACACAGTGTCCATGATTTCCACAAAGAATTTCAAACGTTGATTCGTCGGACCACAGGACACTTTTCCACTTCCCCTCCATTTTAAATGAACTCAGGCCCAGAGAAGGTGGCAGCATTTCTGGATTCTGTTTATGTACAGTTTCTTCTTTGCGTTTTGTGGATGCAGAGATCACGGCCAGCAAATACTGGTTTTTGGCCTTTTCTCTTACATACAGAGATTTCTCCACAGTCTCTGAATCTTTTAATGATACTATGAACCATAGATGATGAAATGGTTGCACTATTTGATGGTGCAGTCTTTCACAGAGTGGTGAACCCCTCCTCATCTTTACTTCTGAAAGACTCCGCCTCTCTGAGATACTCTTGTTATACTCAATCTTGTACTGACCTGCTGTCAGTTAACCACCAGGTGTTTTTTTCAGCATTACTCAACTTTGCCAGCCTTTTGTTCCCCCCGTCCCCATGTTGTTGGCATCAAATTTAAAATGGGCCAATAGTTTTCAAAAAACAACAAAATTTCTAAGCATTTGATTTGTTGTCTTTGTACTATTTTCAATGAAATGTAGGGTTTAAGTGATTTGCACGTCATTGCATTTTGTTTTTATTTATATTCTGCACAGCGTCCCGACTTTTTTGGAAGCGGTGTTGTACATCTCAGACATCTTTCAGCATCTATCAGTGCAGAAGGTGATCTTTCATTTTCTCAGAACTTCAATGCTTAAGTACATTGAGGTGAAACTTCAGGATGAGCCGCAAAACACATTAACTAGCTGACTGGCTGTCCTGAGTTCAGTCAATTTGTGCTTGAAACTGTTTAACCCTCTGGGGTCCATTTGTTCATCTCTTCTTAAACTCTCCTCTAAAGGCTCTTCATATATCATGATCCTCATATGTTTCATATCTAAATGCTCCGTTATCTTCATCACTACTTTCCAAACCCGCTGCAGCAGCTGTAAACTCCGATGTCTCCGATGTGGACTGAATGAAGAATGTCCAATACCAGATTTAGCATTTCTGAGGAAAACGTTTGAATTTGAAACCCAACATGTTAACAGGCTGTGTTTGTTCAACACAGTGTGTGTCCACATGGTCACCGACAGAGTTCCTAGCCAATGAGGATTAAGTTCCGTGGTCAGCTCGCCGGTCAGGTGGAGAGCAGCTGCAGCGCCAGGATCTGATAACTGCAGCCGCGTCGCTCCCGTCAGCATAGAGCGCCGTACGTCTTCAGGACACCGACGCAGGTCGGTCACATAAACTGCACCGGACTGAGCCAGGCAGAGATCTAACAGCCAAACGAGCCTACTAACATGAGTAGAACACTTCTCAGCCAATCAGACTGTGTGGGAGGAGCCGACTGATCTGACTGTATCACCGAGAGGTTCTGACAGCGGCTGGTTCTGGGCTGCAGCGCGTCTCCACAGAGAGCTGATCTGGAACAGACACTGTTTACAAATAAACATCACATCAGCCCTGCTGGGCTGCAGGCAGAGCTCAGGCTGTTAGGGTGGGAGATCAGGGGGTCCACACACACTCACACACACACATAAACACCCACAAACACATACAAACACACACAATACACAAATAAACACAGTTCCAGTCCTCAGTGTTATGATCGCTGCTGAAGCTGATATGGAGTTCTCCTCTCATTCTGTTTACTCTGAAGTGTGCAAGACCACTGTAAGTGTGTGTGTGAGTGTGTGTGTGTGTGTAAGTGTGTGTGTGTGTGAGTGTGTGTGTGTAAGTGTGTGTGTGTAAGTGTGTGTGTGTGTGAGTGTGTGTGAGTGTGTGTGTGTGTGTAAGTGTGTGTGTGTGTGAGTGTGTGTGTGTAAGTGTGTGTGTGTGTGAGTGTGTGTGTGTGTGTGTGAGTGTGTGTGTGTAAGTGTGTGAGTGTGTGTGTGACTCTTTGTATTTGGAACTAAATTCTTCCTTCATTGCATTAGTACAGTCAGATAAGACCCTCTTACACACACACACATAGATCGTTGACTGTGATAGTGTGTGTGTGTGTGTGTGTGTGTGTGTGTGTGTGTGTGTGTGTGTGTGTACTGTAGATGTATCAGTTCCCCAGAAACAGAATCGTTATGTGTTCAAACAGTTTAGACTCTTGTTTACATTGTTCCTGTCAGACGATCAGCTGGAGAAAACAGTTTTACTTGACCAAACTTTTTTGCATGAGATGAATTTATTTCTTTGCATTCAAACTCAGCCTGTAAGTGGACTGAGGTTAGACCACTTTCGGCATCTGGAAAAGCTCCACGACACAGGGACGACACGGATATGCAGCCTATGGAGCAGTAATAACGCTGGCAGGGATGAACACTCTGCTGTCGGAGTTTAGCTGTTTTCCCGTTAGCCGTGAGTCTGTAGCTCTCGCCAGCGAGTAAAGGCCAGTCCGAGATTTACTGTCCGGTCTCTCGCTCGGCCACTCTCTCTTTTTCTCTTCCTCCGACAGCATCTTCCTCAGCTTCTTCGCGGCCTCTGCCATGATGTCCATGCTGGGAATACCGAGCTGCTTTTTCTTACAGCTGGCCGAGTTGTTGGTGTTTGACATGGTGCCGAAAACGTTACTCAGTTCTGGCGAGAGGTTCTCGTTACGCTCCTCCAAAGTTACACAGTGCTATAGCAGGAGATCCAACCAGTTCTCATTCATGTTGCTCCTCCAAAGTCACATAGCGCTATAGCAGGCATA